GAACCTGCCAGCTCAGGTGTATATGGTTGGCACCTTAGCCACTTGAGCCACAGGTGCCAAGCCAGTTAGGCCTGTTTTTAATAGTAACTCTCAAGCAACCAGAAACTACATTTATCTAGAATCTATCAATCCTCATGGGTGCCAGATAATAGAGAGTATTAAAAGACACTCCACTAAAAACCACAATGAGCTGGGCTCAGAAGCTCACACCTACAATCCTAGCTCTTTGGGAAGCCAAGGTAGGTAGGAAGATCACTTGAGGCCAGGAGTTCAAGACCAGCTGTGCAAGAGCAAGACCCCACCTCTACAAAAAATTACAAACTAGTCAAGCATGGTGTTACACACCTGTAGTTCCAGCTATTCGGGAAGCTGAGACAAGGACACTGCTTGAGCTTAGGAGTTTGAGGTTGCTGTGTACTACAATGATGCCACTGTACTCTAGCCTGGGCAACAGAGTGATATCCAGAGTGATATCCACAAAACAAACTACATGGATGGTCTCTGACCCTGAAGACCGCCCCTCCCCTGGCCATTCAGATGGTCATCCCTGTGACATGTGCCCTCCTGGCTCATCCATGTGTCTATATTCTGCATAAATTTAAGCCAAGCACTTACAAGGTTCAAGAGTGGTGGGAAACAACTTTAATGTATAAATAGTGGGAATAAAAAAGAAACTATGTGGTGCCTTGTTAATTAAAACCTAAAACTGTCCAACAATTGGGAAATGGGGAGGAGTGAGTTAATTAACTCATAATGATATTATAGAATAAGGAAATAATAAAGAAAAAGGGGTAATTTCATTTCTGCTGCATCCTCTGTCAGTTCAAACAGACTGAAAATATAAAAACCATGGAAAAGTCCTCTATGTGATTTCTGATTAGCTAATAACAGCCGATTTAATTCCAGACAGGGTGGTAAGCACTTTGCTTAATCTTTATCCAATCACGTGAGGCAGGAACTATGACTTCCCTCTTTTCTGGATAAGCAAACTGAGGCACAAAGAGGTTAAGCAACTTGCTCAGCTAGCAATAAGGAAAGGCAGAATTTGCACCTAAGTGGCCTGACTCTGGGGCCATCTTTCTAATGGCTTTGCTCTAATAGAGGCTGCAAACTTTTTCTGTAAATGGCCATATGGTGAATGTTTTTAGTTTTGTGAGCCAAAAAGTCTCTATCGCCACTACTCAACTTTGCCACTGTCTCATAAAAGCGGCCATGAATAATACAAAATGGAATCAATGTGACTATGTTCCAATAAAACTTTATTTATAGAAACAGACAGGGCCAGATTTAGCCCTGTTTAGGCCATAGTTTGCCAACCTCTGGTCTAGCCTGTATCAAACTGATACCATGTTTGATCCAGTTTATTTGAATTATCATTCATCCTTTTTTCCATCTCCCTCATTAATCTAAAATTAACTATAACTGGAAAGTAGCAAGTAGGCATTAGGAAGGAAAAAGACAAGTGTATGCAGCAGGTAGAGGTGCAGATGTCTGCAATGCAGCATTGGGTACAATAAAGCAAAGGGAGGTGAGAGACACTGGGGACAGGCCTAGGGACTCCCTTCTATATCTCCGCAGGGTTGAGTGGGTAAGGGTCCCAGGTCTTTGTGGAAGGGGCTCCAAAGATTCTGCTGAATCTTTTGTGTACGCCCCTTAGGACTTTATCAGGAGGGAGAGGGATGGGCCCTGCTGGCCCACGTGTACCTGGAAACCTGAGGCATAAGTGGGATTGGTAGTGTTCCCTCTTGGGGATAGCCCCACCTACTATTAAGTAGCCATATAGTTAGTTTCACAATGAATGTCTAAGTTCCTCTTGCTTCTGAATGGTGAAGGAATGCAAAAAATTAACAGAATTTTCAGAAAAGATTATAGCATAGTATTTGGATATAGGTTAAACTATGGTCACAAAGACAAGAAGCATTATAGATATTTAACAAATGTGACCCTTTTCTCTCTCCTGCTTTCTCTTTCTAAATCTAAACACTTAATGAAAGAATAATTTCACAAATAACAAAACATCAAAGTGAACACATGACTAAATACCCCAAACCCTCTTTGCTATTTCTTAAATAATAAATATACTATGTGAAAGGATAAACGCTAGTAATATACAATCCTATTTCTCTCCTACCAGGGCTACAGTGTTTTGTTTGCTTTGCCTTTTTTTTTTTAAGTTTATTTCTTATTTTTATTTTTATTTCTTTTGAGACTAAGTCTCACTCCAAGGTCCCAGGTAGAGTGATGTGGTATCATCATACCTCAGAGCAAGCTCAAACTTTTAGGCTCAAGTGATCCTTTTTCCTCAGCCCCCTGAGTAGCTGGGACTATAGGTGCCTATCACAACGCCTGGCTAGTTCAGTTCTTCTATTTTTAGCAGAGATGGGGTCTTGCTCTTGCTCAGGCTGGTCTTGAACTCCTGAGCTCAAGCAATCCACCTGCCTCGGCCTCCCAGAGCACTAGGATTACAGGTGTGAGCCTCTGCGCCCAGCCCTCTTTGCTTTCTATTTCTCATGTATGGAGTAATAACCATTTTTAAAGACTTTGATACACAAGAGTTTGAATAAGCCTGTAAAAACATACCTTTGCGTCCAACTTTTTGGATGTAGATTCCTTTCAATTGCAGCATTTTCAGCAGGCAATCCAAAAGCATCCCAGCCCATGGGATTGATGACCTGGTTAACACCCAGAAGAGGAACATCGTCATGGCAAATCACTAAAAAGTGTATCTGTATTCTTTTCTGTGCAATAAGCAGGATTCTCTCCTGCTAACATGTCTTATCCATGGCTGGATGATTTCAAACCAGGGCATTTGAAAGCCACCGGCTACCTATAACACTGTGTAGAAGGGAATTTAGAAGGTGCTTTCATACCAAAGTGTCAAAGACAAGTTATCTCTAAGGAGGTACTTTCATGAATACTTTGTATCTTCTTTTTCTTATCTGTATTACCTCTAGGGAGCCCAAATTGTTTTTCTAAAATTATAAAAAGTTTCTCTCTTGGGCAGTGCCTGTGGCTCAGAGGAGTAGGGTGCCAGCCCCGGCAAAAAAAAAAAAAAAAGGGGGCAATGCCTGTGGCTCAGTGGGTAGGGCGCCAACCCCATATACTGAGGGTGGCGGGTTCAAACCCGGCCCCAGCCAAACTGCAACAAAAATATGGCTGGGTTTTGTGGCAGGTGCCTGTAGTCCCAGCTACTTGGGAGGCTGAGACAAGAGAATTACCTAAGCCCAAGAGCTGGAGGTTGCTGTGAGCAACATCATGGCACTCTACCCAGGGTGACAGAGTGAGACTCTGTCTCAAAAAAAAAAAAAAGTTTCTCTCAATTTAAAAATATGTATATAAAAAATTTATAGGCTTTCAAAATGTTCACTTCATGTCAATATTTTCCAAATAAGCAGCTTTGCTTTCACTGGTCACATGTGGCTATATTTATTTAAGCTTAATCAAAACTAAATAAAATGAAAACTACAGTTCCTCAGTCTCACTGGCCACCTTTCAAGTGTGTAGTAGCCACACATGGTTTGTGGTTACTGAACCTATCAGTACATATATACTACCGAAGTCCTTCCAGTGGTTCTCAACATGTGGGTCGCGACCCACAGGAACTGTATTAAAGGGCCACAGCATTAGGAAAGTTGCGAACCACTGTCTATGCAGTGCTACACTGGACATGCACAATGACTTGCAGGTGCTTTTCAACAGTCCCAGCTCTACATTGACCTAAGGATGTCCACCACAACCCTCCTCAAAGGCCCAGGCCTGTCCTCTTCTCATCACTTGCCTGAATCCAGCCCCTATTCTTACTTTGTGCTTATCACTCAACACTCGGCTCAAGCTTGCCCCACATACCAGAGCCCTGGTCTTCTCTTCTTCTACCTCTCTCTCCCCTAACGCTCTTCAGAAAGGCCTGTTCCCCATTTTTTGCTGAAGCCCATCCCTCTCAACCCTAGCAATAAGGAAGGGAACTTCGGCTCAGCGCCTATAGCACAGTGGTTATGGTGCCAGCTACATACACCAAAGGTGGTGCGTTCGAACCCAGCTTGGCTAAACAATAATGACAACTGCAACAAAAAAGAACTAGGTGTTGTGGCGGGCACTTGTAGTCCCAGCTACTTGGGAGGTTAAGACAAGAGAATTGCTTAAGCCCAAGAGTTGGAGGTTGCTGTGAGCTGCGACACCATGACATTCTACCAAGGGTGACATAGTGAGACTCTGTCTCAAAAAAAAAAAAAAAAAGAAGAAAGGGAACCTCCTATCCCCACCCAAACAGTCAGATATATAGACTCCACAGAATAACTTTTGTGACTAAACAAAAGGAAATCTCTTGACCAAGCCCTGCATAGCATTTATGCTAATTTCCAAAATACCTTCCTCTATTCAATATAGTGCTAAAAGTCCCAGCCAGAACAATCAGACAAGAAAAGGAAATCAAGGGTATCTAATGGGGGAAAGAAGAGGTCAAATTATCATTCCTCACTGATGATATGATCTTAAATATATTATCTAGAAAACCCCAAAGATTCTGCCAAGAGACTCCTGGAATTGATAAATTCAGCAAAGTCTCAGGTTTCAAAATCAATGTATATATATCAGTTGCTTTCATATATGCCAATAATAGTCAAGCTAAGAATCAAATCAAAGATGCAATACCTTTCACAGTAGCAACAAAGATAATAAAATACCTAAGATGTTGTTTAGTAGGATGTAAACACTCCAATTTGTACAAATAATCAACACATTGAATCTCATAATGGCATAAATGTATTCACGATCTATGTACAAATAATTTAATAAGAAAAAAATAAAATAAAATACCTAAGAATATATTTAACTAAGAAGGTTCTCTATAGGGAGAACTATGAAATACTGAGGAAAGAAACTGCAGAGGATGTAAACAAATGGAAAAATATACCATGTTCATGAATCAGCATAATCAACATCAGTAAAATGTTTGCACTTTCTGAAGTGATTTACAGATTCAACACAATCTCTATTAAAATACCAATGTCATTTTTTGCAGATCTAGAAAAAAATAGTTCTATGATTTATATGGAACCAGAAAAGACCCTGAAGAACAAATGAAACCTAATGCAATATGAACGAATCAGGAGGCATCTCTCTACCAGACTTCAGGTTATCCTATAAGGCTGTAGTAACTAGCACAGCATGGTACTAGCACAAAAACTGGGTCATACACCTATGGACCAGAATAGAGAACCCAGACATGGTACTATTCTCATATTGCCATCTGATCTTTGACAAAGCAGACAAAAACATACAGTTTGGAAAAGAATCCCTATTCAATAAATGGTGCTGGGGAAACTGGACAGCTACATGTAAAAGACTGAAACAGGATGCACATCTCTCACCACTCCTAAGAATTAATTCACAATGGACAAAAATCTTAAATCGAGGACATGAAACTATAAGAATTCTAAATGAAAATGTTGGAAAAACTTTTATAGATACTGGCCTAGGCAAAGAATTTATGAAGTAGACCCAAAAGTAATCATAGGAACAATAATATATAAATGGAACCTGATCAAATTAAAAAGTTTCTGCACAGCCAATGACACAATCAATAAAGCAAACAGCCTACAGAATGAGAGAAAATGTTTGCATGCTATATATCAATAAAGGGGTAATAACCAGAATCTACAAAGAACTTAAGCAAATCAGAAAGAAAAAAATCAAACAACTTCATTAAAAAGTGGGCAAAATGACATGAATAGAAACTTTTCAAATGAAGATAAGATGCTGATAGCCAACAAACACAAGAAAAAACGTTCAACATCTCTAATCATCAGGGAAATGCAAATCAAAACTACGATGAGCTATCACCTAACTGCGGTGAAAATGGCTTTTATCAAAAAGTCCCCAAACAGGCTTGGTACTCATAGCACAGTGGTTACGGCGCCAGCCACATACACTGAGACTGATGGGTTTGAACCTGGCCTGGGCCAGCTAAACAACAATGACAACTGCAAGAAAAAATAGCTGGGCATTGTGGTGGGTGCCTATATTCCCAGCTACTTGGGAGGCTGAGGCAAGAGAATCGCTTGAGCCCAGGAGTTTGAAATTGCTGTGAGCTGTAACACCACAGCACTCTACCAAGGGCAACATAGTGAGACACTGTCTCAAAAAAAAAAAAAAAAAAAAAAAAGTTCTCAAACAATAGATGCTGGCATGGATATAGAAAGGAACTCTTTGTTGGGACTGCAAACTAGTACAACCTCTATAGAAAATAGTACAGAGATACCTAAAGAACTAAAAGTGGACCTACCATTTGATCCAGCAATCCTGCTATTGAGTATTTTCCCAAAGGAAAAAAGACACTTTATTAAAAAGACACCTGCATTTGAATGTTTATTGCAGTGCAATTCACAATCACAAAGATGTGGAAACAACCCAAGTGGCCATAAATACCTGAGTGTATTAACAGAATGTGGTATGTGTATACCTTGGAGCACTACTCAGCCATAAAAAAAAAAATGGTGATCCAATATCTTTTGTAACAACCTGGATGGAATTGGAGACCATTCTCCTTGTGAAGTTTCACAAGGTTGGAAAAACAAACCCCACATGTACTCAATACTAAATTGGAACTAGTTGGTCAACACTTAAGTACACACATGAAAGTAAAACTCAGTGTAAATTAAGTAGGTAGGAGGGGAGAGTGGGAGGAGGTGTGTAACGGACACTTTCTGGGTGAAGAGTATGCTTATAACTCTGACTTCAAATGTACAAAAGGAAATTACGTAGCCAAAATACATATGTAGCATAATTGAAAAAATAAAATAAAATGCACCTCCACCAAATATCCTCTATCTTAAAACGAACTGCCAATTGCTAGCCGTGCTTTATTGGTATAAGAAATGCTCCACGTGTAGTTCCCGCAGCTCCCCTTCAGTGTCCTCATCTGTAAAATGGGGAAGGTAACAGTAGCTGTGAGAATTAGATGAGCTAATGTGAGAAAAGCACGGAGAAGGGTGCTTGCCATGCAGTAAAGTGCTGTACACAAGGCCAGACAATTAAGTTCATGAACTCGTCCCAGAAAAAGTGCTACACGCCTCATTGCTGACTATCACTGTGGTCACCTTCAAAGTACTCCCCTTGGGAAGTGATGCATTGACACCAGTGCCTAGTCTACACTTCAACTTATTCTAGGATGAGTTTGTGAAATTTATTGTCAGACCTGGAATTTCTACTCCTGTTCAAAGAACAGGGAATCACAAGATCTTAGAGCTCAAAGAGGTTTCTGAAACATATCCTTCACCTCCACTCCCTCATTCGACAGTTCCAGCAACTATGGCCCAGCAAGAGTGAGTAACCTAGAAGCAACTGCCTGAAGCAAGGACAGGCCAGCAAAGCATTCTTTTTTTTCTTTTCTTTTCTTTATTGAGACAGTCTCACTGTGTCACCCTGAGTAGAGTGCCATGATGTCACAGCTCACAGCAACCTCAAACTCCTGGGCTTAAGTGATTCTCTTGTCTCAACCTCCCAAGTAGCTGGGACTACAGGCGCCTGCCACATGCCTGGCTATTTTTTTGTTATTGTTGTCATTGTTTTAGCTAGCCCTGGCCAGGTTTGAACCCACCAACCCTGGTGCATGTGGCCAGTGCCCTAATCACTGAGATATGGGTGCTGAGCCAAGGCATTCTTCTCTCCAAGTTGA